TACCGAGAACTCATGAGGCGATTTGTATTTTCCCCAAGATACATTGAATAATTAAGAGTGAATAGGACTTGGTACTCTGGACGTGAAAATTAGTTGGCTACTATTGGAAGAAAAAAAAACGAAGGAGGATGGGATTGGTAGAGGGAAGATGATATCTAAGGAAAGGTGCTATGATTAATGCTTGTGAGGAGTTATATGTGATAGCATACTATTGTGAATTACTCTCTTCTGCAATGATGTAAGAATTTCTTCACCTGAAATCATAACCTGAAGATAACAATCGAGCTTTTTAAAACTGAGCAGAAAGAGTACTTCATGAAGTAATATATGGTTGATGGTTTTATTCGAGAACATACATGTTGGTACGTACGATGCATTACTAAATGATAAATTGAGTGAAAAAAGAATGGGGGGGGGGGGAACTGATGCTCCTCACCACCTGAGGTTTAAATGGACCTTGTATGAGATGAGAGGTATTGGATTAGAATAACAATGAATGACTAGCTATTATTTGGGAGGATAGTTATTTGGTTGATAATGGCTGCTGGAGCTATAAGGCCTGAAAAAATAGATGTTGTATTGCCCTTTTCGACCGACCCATAAATCTTGAAATCTACGGTCCGCTTTTTAATTTTTTTGTTTACCGATTAAAAAAAAAGGAAAGAAGATTTCTGACCGACGAACCCAAATTTCTGACTGACCGACCAATGTTTTGACACCTAAAGGGCAATACAACATTATTTTTTTTAGGCCTAACTGTTGAGCTTTTAAAAATAATTTAACCTATAGGGAATTCGGGAATGATGTAACTTAACGTTAGATGTGCTGTTTTAAAGGGATCCGGTAACTTTGTCTCAGATTCTGAAATAAAATTTTGGATTTAGCTCATGATGCAATGATAATTATAAGCCTTTAGGTCAGTCAGGAACCCCGTGACTTTTGCAAGCCGATCGCCTGTCTGATTATCAAGATATTTATGATTGGAATTACAAATTTTGAAAACCGTTCGCCTGACGGTTTTCATAACACTACAGTCTATTGGGGAAAACGAGTATGGTAAAACCGGTCACTCAAAGATTTTTACTTTTTTGAGGCACTTCTTGATCGTTTTGAAGCGCAATTTTTTTAGGGCTTCAATATTACACCATATCACAGACACTGATAACACGTATGGCCGTGTATCTCATATTTAACATTGTTAAACGATCCCTTTAAGGTTGGAATATCATTGATATATTTACATTTTTTTTCTTCAAATCCCTCCCTTTCCAGATCCGTCGTCACTGGGGTGGTGGACAGGTGGGTAGCAAGAGCCAGGCCCGTATCGACAAGCTTGAGAAGCTCAAGTCTAAGGAGCTAGAAGCAAGGGCTTAAACCCATCCACACAGACAGACTGAATCAGTGGCAGCTCTCTCGCTGCTGTCATTGAAGAACATGTTGATAGCACATTCTCAGAATGCAAACTTCACATCCAGGCTATTTCAACGTTATTCGTATCGGTTTCATAACCCACTCAACAAACAAACAAACGGCACTCTCATTTTTGGACACCTTCCAAAACATCCTCGCTTTTTCTTGACTGAAAGCATGACAAAAGTACATCTCTGCTATGTAATAAGTATGGAATAAATGACCATTACAACAAATATTAAGATTATTGTTTGATATGTGCTGTATCTCAGTGTGAAGATGTTCATCTCCACTGCATGCATTTTGTTTTGGTGGTGGGAATAGTGGTGAGAAGGATGATGATGATCGTGATGATGGTGGTGATGGTGATGAGGATGAAGTTGGTAGTAATGATAATGGGGGCAGGAGCAATGAAGACGCTGGTGATGGTATTGGAGGTTGATAGGAACGAGTAATTGTGCTAGTAATGATGGTGATGATGATATTGATAATTGAATGCTGTAACCATAATTGTGATGGTGATGATAAGGCGTTAAAAAAAAAAAATGTTGCCCATTGTGACCGACCCCAAAATCTTGAAAACCTAGTAACCTACGGTTGGCTTTTTGATTAATTTTTTTTTTTTTTAAAACTATTTTTGTTAGAGAAAAAAATGTTTAATGAATAAAAAGTATGTATTCTTTTTAGTGAATTCGGATATAAATATATAAAATTATTCCCAAATTTTCACTTGTCTTCAGCCCTAGTTTCAAAATCCTGCTTGCGTAAACAAGTAGCCCCCGCCTCGTGTACATTGTATACCATGCACTGCACCAGCTAGAAACCATCGAGATTTGGGCGACGTTGATGGTTTTTAGTCGCGGTCGCTATTTTGAAGGGGAAAACAAAGGAAGATTTCCACCCGACCGACCCAGGTTCTGACACCTAAAGGGCAATACAACATCCCCCTTTTTTTTTTTAGGCCTAATGGAAGTGATAAAGACAGTATGAAGACGCTGAATATGATAACGGTAAACGACGATGGTATTAATGAGGATGCTTATGCTAATGGCAATGATGGTGGTGATGGTGAATGAAGCTTATAGGACGACTGACGAGTGGTGATGACTATGATGATGGTAATGGTAATTGATGCTGGTAACAATTGTGATAATGATGACAATAGATCAGATGATTAGGAGGATAAGACAATGACATAGATCAGGCCTGGCAAAGGTGACAATAATGTCAATGACTATAGTGATGGGGATGACAATAGTATACTGATGATAGTAAAGAGAATATTGATGGTACTGGTTAAAGTATGGTTTTACTAAGTAGGCGGAAGAACAATTGAGTGCTGAGAGGGGTTGCGTTATATTATATTTTTCTCTCCCTGTCTTTTCTCCCTCCAACCTCTCTCTCTCTCTCTCTCCTCTCTCTCTCTCTCTCTCTCTCTCCCTCTCGTTCTCCCTCCCTCCCCCCCTCTCTCTCTCTCTCTCTCTCTCTCCCTCTCGTTCTCCCTCCCTCCCCCCCCCCCCTCTCTCTCTCTCTCTCTCTCTCTCTCTATCTCTGCCTCTGTTCCTCATCTCTTCCCTTTTGGGTTATTCAATAAGGGGATCTGAGGGATACTCCATTCACTCAATCTACCTTGTTATTTTCTTTTTCTTTCTGTCTCTGCTTGTATGCTCCTCTTATCCCAGCTGATTGGATATATATTGTACTCTTTTTCTTGTAACTTGTCAATCCGCCCTTTGTTTAGAATGACCTTACCTACAAGAGTTTCTTTTCAATATTCTTGAAAGTGTAACACATGCTGAGTAAGAATTAACAATAAATTTGTTGACTCGATGCAGTTCAGTTTGTTTGCGCTTAATTTTGCTTTTATTATAATTATATTATATATTATTCAAAATTCATTTAGATCTCCATACATTATGTTATATTTCCACTGATTTATCGAATGCAACAAATTATTCATCAATTGGTTATTAAACTATGGATTCGAAGCGTTTAGAACCAGGAAGATTCAGTATAATCCAGTTAAAATTGGCAATTATGCAATAAGAATATTATAGTGTATATGATTTATATACATCATCAAATATGACGACATCTGAAATTGTACTGAATTGAATCAGTTTAACCAAATAAGGTGAAACAATATTTAAATATTGAAATTTGGAAAGACAAGGAAGTTGTGCTAAAAAGATGCAATTTGTCCAATTTGTAACAAAAACAACTGAAAAAGTTCATGAAAGTACTTGTCATTTTTATATTTCTTCTTCACTATATAATGTTCCGACAATAGATTTTACCTTCCATTGGCTTTTAACCCAAATCATTCAGGCATTCTGTGAACTTTCGTGGTTTACTCTCTTGACAGAAGTACATGTATATAGACCCTACCTTTGAATATAATTTGTATCGTTATTAATCATCTCTTCTTAGGTAAACACTGCAATTCTTCCCATTTTTACGAACGGGTGGCTACAAAGCAACGAAATTTACACAAGGCCATACTTATAAGCGGAGGGCCAAAGTCAGAAAAGAGGGGTTTGCCTGCCATTCTCACACAAACTAAGCACACCATGTTTATGCGAAAGATTTTTTTCATAACACACAATATTTCACTGTTTTTTTTTTTGTTTAATTTGCAGCGAACACCTCTAAATCGGGGGGGGGGGGGGGGGGGGGAGTGTCCCCAAAATCGGCCTTTTTGACGAAAAATAGTATTTTGTAAAAAATATTTTAAGGCAATCTTGAATCACCATGAGTTTGATGTCATATGAAATATAATTGAATTATCAACATTTTGATACCAATTTAAAAAGAATAGGAGTTGATTGACATCACAAATAGTTTGTATGGTAGTGGCGAATAAATCGAAACCTAGCATGATATTTGACTTTGGCCCTCCGCCTAATAATAGGTCGGACAGCGAAAAATGAATTAGTAAATACCATTCATTTTGCCACCAAGCTTTCAACAAGCTCGTACCTCGGTCACACCGACTATAGAGTCGTAGTTGAATTGAATTGAATTGAAATCTTTATTTATACACGGTTAAAAGAGCCCAAACATTTACAAGCCTGATTTCCATTGGCGCCGTGTGAAACAATGTAAATACATCAAATAAACATAAAATGACAATGGTACATCAAATGACATTTAAAACAAACAAGAAATAACAGGATCAAAATAAATATTATTATAAAAAAATAGAATAGTACTGCCGGAAAAGTATATTTATATGAATAACAATAATCATGAGTGGCCAAACAAGAGCACTGTTAATATACTTCAAATTCAAATCGGTTATAAGAATTGTTACTAGTGCATATATACTGCCGGAAATGATATAACAAAATTAAAAAGGTGTGACGCTGGGAAGCGTTATTTTTTCGGCGGCACAGATTGGGGTTAGGTGCGTGTTGAGCCTATGGGAAAGTTTAGGGTTAGGGTTAGGGTTAAATCAAGACCTCTTTTTATACAAAAAGCCCCAATCTGTGCCGCAGAAAAAAATGACGCCGCCGGGAAGTAATCATAATTATGTTATGCCTATTCACTTTTCTTTGCTTTTCTGGAGGTCAGATGCTCTTTGTCTTGAAAATTGGTGGACCTTTCGATGTATATCATTTTAGTCCTGAAGTGACCATACTCTTGTCACTTGCATGGTTTCGCCTTTTTTCATAATATTTGAATATTACTACCAATATAAAGGTGGCGCCATTGACAATTGCTAAGGCGAGATAAGCTGCGTTGAATCCCATTGTATCTGCGATGAGACCTGTCAAAGGAATACAACACAATTTAGTCAACCATGCAATAGGTCGCGTTATACATATACAATTGAATTGGTGCTCCTTTATTATCATGGGATTTGTATTTGGTTGGAAATGAATGAATATAAATAAATTCGACCTAAATGAAACGAAATGAAGTGAAATAAATATTTTGCACTAGCCTTGATCTATATCTATTCTAAGTAGATCGAAGGGTTATTATCATCATTACTATTATTATTACTATTACTAGGCCTACATGTGCTACTATTACGATTTTTATCATTATTATTAGCATCACCGTCATCATCGCTATCATTATTGTTTTAAATATGAAATTTGAAAGCGCATAAGCAAACTACGACTTAGTTTGTAAAGAAAAAAACCCGAAATAGTCTTTTAAAGTGAGAATATTCAGTTCCATTATACTATAATAAACCAAATTATATATTCAATTCAATTCAATGTTTTACCTTGTCTGGTCTTACTGAGGAAAACCTAAATGGGATTTTTTTTTAATGGGGGGGGGGGGGTTGCAGAGGGAGGTCCAAGCGTCTTCCCCCTCCTTTTCCCTTTCCATTTCTCTCTTTTAGTTTGGCTTTTTCTTTCATCATGTTCAATTAAGTCATACAGGGTATATTAGGTTTCACTTTGTTAGGAGACATACGAAATCAGAGGCAAAGTCGACTATTTGGGAGGTAGAGATGAGAAAGAGGGGGGGGGGGGAGGGTGGGGGCAGTAAACACAAAATTATAAATATCATGTTCTAATCGCACCTGAAGTATGTAATTAACGTATACATTAATTCATCTACTCCATAGGCCTACCCGCTTTATCATTCCACTACCATTATACGTGTATTAATACAAAAAGGGAACAGTTTTCGCAAGAGAGTTTTAAAAATTCTGCGCCAGAAAAATTTAGGGGTTTTATTTTTCACAAAAATTTGTCAACTTTATGGAAGAAAAAAAAAAGGTTAAAAAACATTGATAATCAGTAATTTTGTGGGTACAGATCTTTTCTTAATCTGGAAATATCTAAAGGATAAAGAATAGTAGTCATCAAAATTAACCTCTGCACGGGCAGTAGTTTCTTAGACAATTCTTGGGGCCGGGGCAGATCTATCCAAAGTTGTTCGGAGTTGGATGGATTTTCACTGGTAGTTGTCCACGAGTTGTCGTTCTGCAGAGGATTCTTTTGGGATATTTATTCGGGGTGGAGGGGATAGTTAAAAGTCCAGAGTTAGTTGGCAGGGATAGTTTTAATAGGTGAGACTTATCAGGTGGATAGTTTTCCAGAGGGTAGTAATTTTGTCAACTGGTAGTTTGGGGTAATTGCATCGGTGTAATTTAAGGATGGGTTGCTAATAGGGACTTTTTGAGTTGCACGTCGACATCACACGTACCAGTCCACTATGTCGACGTGCAAATCGAAAAGTCCCTAATGTTAGAGGTCAGTTGGCAGGGGCAAGTGAGTTGTGCGGAGATAGTTTATCGGGGGGTAGTTTTCAAGAGGTAGTTGGGGTAGTTGTCTTGATGTAAATTACAAATGGGCTATATTAATGTTGGAGGATATTTATCAGGGGTGGGCGGTTGTTCGGGAGTAGTTGTTCAGGAGCTAGTTATCCAGGGTTAGTCAAGGAGTAAATTTGTTTCAGAAGTGTTACCTGAAATGGTTCCTCCTGCCAAAAACCCTGCACCATGCATCAGTTCGAGGGTCACGAAGAGGATATCAAAGTCTGCAGGCACCAACAAAAGTTCTGCTCCAAGGATAATCGGCAAAATGGCCATCCCTTCCAACGCGATTCCGGAGAGAAAGGAACAGACCAGCATCACCGGAAACTGGAGAGTAAAGACGTCGAGGAATTTTGAAAGTCCCTCCAGGATCACCAAGCAAAGGAAAACCGTGCTTGAATTCCCAGATTTCTTCATAACCAATCCAAGCGTGAGACGACTAATGAAGTTGGCAAAAGCAGATGTCAGGTTTAGAATGTTGACGTGGGTCAGTGACAGACCCATGTGAATGGCTCGTGGAACGAATAAGGAGCGCCATCCTACGATCTCCATGCCCACCACGAAGTACGCCACAAATAAGACCACCAGACAGGGCTCCCAAAGCCTTCTAAAGCTCTCAAAAATTATGGACAGTTTGTTGAAGCATTCGTAACTTCCTGGTATTCTATTGTGACTACTACTATCCTTCCCGGTTCTCATTTTTTCCGATGAAAAAGATCTTAGGGTTTGTTCTTCGATTTGAATCCTTGTCGCCCGATTGTTCGGTTTGGCGCAGTCCTTTGACCTGTAATCACTATGAAGACCTATCTCATCCTCAGAATACAGCCTTGGCCTTTCTTTTATTTGACTCTTTTGTAACTTTTTATTTCCTATAGATTCTTCGTCGTCTGTTGAATTGGGCGATGACTCCGAAAAATTTGAAGAATAATTATTGTCACTCGAGCTGTATACCCCAGTTTCCGTCCCGCTGTCTTCCGACATCGTATCTTCTTTTGTACTTTTTACATGAGCCCTTATTGAAGGTCCAATTGCGATAACGAATGGGATGATGTTTGCGGATAGCCCACCTAGTATCAACATAGCACCCCTCCAGTCGTAGATCAACTGCAGATATTCAGCTGCAATGGGTACAAAGATGGTTCCAAAGGCAAACCCGGATGTAGCTATCCCGTACATTACGTCGAATCGTTCCTCTGCAACCTCCTTGAGGACGATGACAGATGAGACGAAAACCAAAGAGCTACCAAGTCCTATCAAAGAACAAAATAATAATAATAGTCACAGGGATCAGATTCTGAAACAAAATCCTGGATATTGCTCATGCTGCAATGATAATTATAAACCTTTAGGTCAGTCAAGAACCCCATGACTTTTACAAGCCTATCGGCTGTCTGATTATCAAGATATTTATGATTGGAAATCGAAACCAAATTTTGCGTTTGCCAAACGGTTTCATAACACTACAGTCTATTGGGGAAAACGAGTATGGACAAACCGGTCACTCAAAGATTTTTTACTTTTTTGAGGCACTTCTTGATCAATTTGAAGCGCGATTTTTTTTAGGGCTTCAATATTATACCATAACAGTGCATCTCAGATTTAACATTGTTAAAGATAAACTTGAGTTCTGGTAATGCGATTGCATTGTGAAAGAAAAGGTGTGGAATGGATCAGAAAAGTTGATCATATAGCATGCAAGTATAATGGTGTGTAATGCAAGGTTCTGGAGTTATCAAAATCATCATAAATTTGGCAGAGTCTTGGTAAAGTAAAAAATACTGACACAGAAAGATGTATATGGGACAACACACATGGTGTCGGGGCTAGTACTACCCTGATTTCCTTATATTTCTATGCTCATTCCTCAGCCAGTATACATTTTCTTCCAAAATTGTTTGGCACATAACATTTATTTGTAATCTTGAACATTCAGTGTAAGTTTCGTTAGATTCTGTGAGAATTCATTTTCTTTTTTTACCAGACTCAAGTTTATCTTTAAACGATGCCTTTAAAAGCCTACTACGTGTCCAAGCGCTTTACTATTTTAATTAATATTATCCCGTGGTTATTGAATATAGTTGCTACTCCGCACATGCCGCTCCGCTCCCTGGGGAGTATTCCGGTCAGACGCCATTATACAAGCGCATGCGCACATACCAATCCAACCACGGTAATGTTCCTACTCTACCAGGTACCCATTTATCACCGAGGTGGAGAATGGCAAATGTAGATAAACTTGTCTTGCCAAAGGACATGAACAATCCGGTGACGTATCAACTAGAACACGACAGCTCTACCAAAATCACCATAATAATGATACATGATAAGAATAATAAATTCCATTATAAATCGGCTTCCGAATAGATACAAAGCGCATTAATATAATTAAAAAACATAAAACATACTCATTGTTCTGAGTACACAAAGGAATTAGAAAAAATATGTTGTAAAAAAACTACTTTGATGTTGTAAGATATTTTCAATCTCTCAGAATCACGCAGGGAAATAACAGGTTTGATGTGAGAATGAGAAAATTGTCTGGTACTACGTTACAGTGACATATCACCGATGCAGCCAATAAGAAAAGCACTGGGGGCGTTTCACAAAGCCCTTTTTTAATGACAAACATCAGTGACAAATCTGCTGATAACCAATCAGAAGCAAGGATTTTAGTAGCTTATAACAAAAAACTGTCATTAATTGTCACTGATGACAAGTTATGTGAAACGTCCTGATTAATGGTCCACGCAGAGCAGGACACGTACCCAATACAAATAATTAAAAGTAGCTTTGAAAAGGCAGAGAAGCTGCAGAAGACTCACTTGGACTGAAAATAAAAGTCGACAGGGGTGAATGAAAGCTTGCCTTCTTGAAAGGTTTGTAGAAGCATGGGCACCGTTTCACGAACCCGTGGTATAACAAGTTCACCGCCATCTCATTAAAACGTGTCTTTATAAATTATGTCTTATAATTATGCGAGTTTTAATTCCATGCACGCGTTTCAATGTGATGTCCTTGTTCTTGTATTTATGGCGGTTTCGTGAAACGTTGCCCAAAAACCACATGCCAAAGAAGCATTATATAAAACTAAAGAATGGATCGGATGTCTTACCCAATAAAGCAAAGCATAGACAAAATATCACCGGAGTCAAGGAAAGAGAAGAGAAAATCGTTCCACATGTTGTACAAATAGCTCCCACCATGATGATTAGTCTTGGGTTTCCCAGCTGTCGATATCCTAGAATCACGAATGGAGCTAGAAGACGAAATAATATATTAAATCATTTGAATAATGCCTGACGTATATTAAAGGTATATTACTCATATTGCACAGGAGGAGTAATTTCGATTGCGTTATCTTCCTGCAATGAGCCCGGCAAGGCAATATACCAGTTCTGGAGTCTTGAGTTTCTTGAGTTTGAGTTTATTAACAACAAAAATAATAACAAGTAAAACATAATGTATCAAGCATGATTACATAAAATATAACAATATAACACAAGATCGATAACATTACACATGAATTTTATAAACATTGTTTTACAAAGTATGTTGTAAACAAAATTAAAGGCACTGGCAGTGCCTTAAAAGGATGTCACACGTTGTGGTCCACGTTCTCGTCGTGCAAATCGAAAAGTCCTAATTGTTGTTAGGGAGGACCATGCATGCAGGTGGGACCAGGTAGACCAGGCTCCATAAACCCATTTATTTCGTAATGTTATCAAATATAATGCACACATTTATGTTAAAGGTACTATGTCCCTTATGCAGCCAACCTCAAATTCTGTAGAACTTTGCAGGAATTATGAATAATTATGTCTTGTATGTCCTATCTGTGAAATTTAAACGTTAGCAGTGTCCTAATATTCTAAATATGCAAGGAAACCCGTTTACTTGCTAGACTTCACTGTCATGCAGACACTATTGGGTGACTGACTGGCCTTTTTTCTTCTTTGGTAATAACATACATAAAATGAGCTGTAAAGGGTACATGAGCATTTGTCTACATCAATAACCCACTTCTTGTGATGGCCAAAATTAAACTGATTGAATCTTTGCGCAGAATAAAACGTATGACCATACGGTCGTCTGAAAATCAAGACTGTTACTTATTGGCTCTATAGCTCCTAAGTCGATTTGACAACAGTTGGTCGTTATTTTCCCACTTGAAGACATTTTCCAACCCCACCTTTTCATTTGTTGGGCCTGCATAATGGAACATAGTACTTTTAAAAAAGCGGCCTCGTTACAAATAATTATTTCATGTACCCGTTATGACTAATTGTATTTCAATAGTCAGAATGCTAATTGTATACATTAATCGTTTCTAGGTAACACAAACATTATTATACACTTAATCATAACAGGTGAATGAAATAATTTGTAACGAGGCACTTAGCAAGAATTTGTGCATTAAATTTGACTACATAACGAAATAAAAGGCTTGAAGGAGCCTAATAGGGACTTTTAGATTTGCGTGGACTGATACCTGTGACGTCCATTCAAGGCAGTGCATTAAAAGGACGTCGATCGTAGCAATCCACGTTGTCGTTCGGCAAATCTAAAAGTCCCTATTATCTACGACGCCAACTACGACGCCATTTACTCATTTTTACGGAATTTAAAAACAATCAAGGGGCCGATCCCCTCATCGTCACTCTTGATATATTTCGATTACCCGCCTGAACTTACCAAAGAAATAAACGAAGCCGATGGCGAACCCCGCCGCAAGCCCCAACTCGCTCGTAGTCAATCCCAAGTCCTCACAAAGCTCACTCTGGAAGATTCCCACTGATCTATCGATACCTCGCGAGAAACTCGTCATTAGGAAAATCAAAAATACTACCACAGCGTTCCGTCTTTTGACAAAACAACAAGCCATCTTTCGACTTTTATCCAGCTTGACAGCGTCATGAACTAAAGTTGTTATTCTAAATGACAAATGAAAGCCCTATCAAAAGTTACTTTCGAGAGTATCTATTCGTGGCAGTATATAACTACCAGAAAAGCACTGCTTGAGACTCAAGTTAGACCAGACAAGATTTTTTAATGAAGACGGGCTGGGACTGCAATGACCCAATATAGCCTTGCCATACTTTGTCTATCAAAAAGCACTGTTTTTTTTCTTTCAAAGAGGCAAGAGAGAATTATAAAGAAAAACAGTTCTTCCTAACCTTTTACGCTTGAAAGATGCATTCATGCAACTTCTTTGACAAAATTTCAGTCGCTGTAGGCCTTATCTATTAGGCTGTTCACACCGCAATGAGATAGCGCGGTCTTCTAGCGCGCGCTAGACCGCGCTCTCTCTCGTGGACCACCCCCAAGAAGTGCTCCAGTGGCACGCCGTTTTGGCTCGCCGTGGCTCGCTGTTGGGCGGACCGAAACGACGTTGTACCTTCCAAACCGCAGAGATAGCGCGGTCTAGCGCGCGCTATCTCTGCCGGTGTGAACAGCCTCTATGATTTCAAAGCAAAACATCACATTATGCCGAAGTCACTCCCCATCATTTGTTGTTTGTTTGCCATATCTTTGTCGTTCCCTTTATTATAGGACTCAAGTCGACCTACTAATAATAAGTAGTTCATCTTAAAGTCCAAAGATCAAACTCGATGAGTGAACATAACATAGTATACAAATATACACTGCCTTGAGAGATTCTGGTTAAAACTATGCGCAAGAGGTGACTCCAATAGTACTATTTGCTGAGGGGCGCAGCCCCGAAGCAAATGGTACTTTTGGAGTCTCCGAGGCCCATAGTTTAACCAGTACCTCGAATAGAAGGCATGGTATATTTGTTTTATATCCTGCATCACAAATTTATTAAAAAAAAAAAAAAATGTCAATTTTTATCTAAAAAGATTTAAAATATTTTGTTTTCATTAAATTAAGATTTGAAAAATAAAATTGATTCAATTCAAAAAAAAAAAATTCACATTTTTTTTTCAATTCCCAAATAGTAAACCAAATGCCCTGCTCTCATATAGTACTTTCTAAAAATAGGTCAAATATTTCTGGTCATGTGACGAGCTCTCAACCAATCAAAAGCCAACAAATTTTTGATGCAGGATATAAAAGAGAATAATGCCATCGATATGGGGAAGGTGTTGTAAAGAATGGCGTCATCTTCTTTGCCTGGAGCTACACCATTGATTCTTGAACATCGACGAAAGTTTTCCTCGCTTAAATAAATTTATGTCAGACTTAGGCTCATTCATACATCCTGAAGCCTACTAGAGTAACAGATAAACTTAATGAAACTATTAATATATGTAGCGAAAAAGATCATACATGGGTGTGTGTAAATGTATGTTTTTTGTAATAACATTATACGAGACTACCCCCGTGTCCACACACAATTTTTTTTTCTTGTATAGCTATCCCGAAACGTATACCGATTCGGGAAAGCCATACGATGAAATTGTGTGTTTGTATGCTTACTAACGATACGTCGTATAAAGAAACGTCGTATAACGAAACGCGGGTCTGGGCATCGATCGTTTCGAACTAGAACTCAATTGCAAACCCTTTGGCCCGAATTGCCAAAGGAGGATTGTCGACAAACCTAGGTTTATGTGCGTCATGAAACGCGTCATAATTATGACGCACAGAAACCTAGGTTTGTCGACAAACCTCCCTTGGGAATTCGAGCCTGCGAGCCGCAAAACATTTTGATCCCATGCTAGAAATCCGGAATCCCCCACTGTGGCAGACGTAAATTAAGAAATTAAAAATACGCCCTGCGGCTACCCTAACTATTATGTGACTGCTATGTATATGACCGTGAGAATGCTGCGGCGGCCCTATAACTATCATTGATATTGGCCGTAGATATTTTTGACCCCATGGCCGCCACGGCAAATGTAACCTAGGCATTATAGCTACAATGCTATTTTGTCATGATTAGGGTTATGATGTGTAACTGCACGGAGCCTATTCTGAAAACGATTTTATCGATTTTATCGACGTCATGTTAGGGAAAAACGATGTAAATTGTCATAACATACTGAAAATGCTCAGAAAAAAATTCCAATTGAAGCTTGGGCAGATGTATCTTTAAAGCCTCGGTCACAAATGCCATTACAAACTGCTACGAACGCCGTACGAACGATTTTCAGACAATGGAAATTCGGGAAGACAATGGAAAAACAGGGAGATTCGTACGAAATTATCGTTCGTACGAACCTTTGTGACCGTAGCATTAACTTTACGCAAACGAACCAGGCTTTGTGAAGACGTTTACCAATGAAATGACACTTTACCACCTACTGCGAGCACGCCAAGCGAAAGACTGTCTAGCCAAGAGAGAGAGAGAGAGAGAGAGGTCTGCTACTTATACACTACACTACATATAGCATGTACTTTTCCAGCCAACTCCTCGGACAAATTTTCTTTTTTACCCAAATCTATGTAAAAATAAAAAATCATACAATAAGGTTGGGTTAAAATTTTACCCAACTTTGGGGTAAAAAATTACACAACAACAAAGTAAACGAGTACCCAGGATGAGTTGGGTAAAAATTACCCAATGTTGTGTCAAAAAGGGAACATGGTTGTCGTTGGGTAACATTTTACCTTTTACATTGGGTCAAATATATTGCACATCAGTTGGGTAAAACATTAAACATTTGCTGGGTAAATTTTTACCCAACCACCCCTGTGTCAAATTTTACCCAACAAACATGCATGTTCCCTTTTTACCCTCGTAAAGTGTAACATTTTACCCAATATTGGGTATCTTTTTTTTTAGAGTGTAAGAAGAGTGTCAAAACGTGTTAGAAGAAGATGATGCATCAACGTACTGGGAGAAGTCCGTTGAACCTTTGCTTTGCCAAGGCCAGTTTGTGAAACTACTGACTCTGGAAGACGAAAACCTCACATGGAAATCCATAATGTACAATCTCACATGGAAATCCATAATGTACAATCTACCTAAGAGGGTATCAAGCTTTGTAACCAACTCATGTATTGACTCTTTACTATCATACGCAAATCTTTACAGGTGGGGAAAACGACCGACAAACAAGTGCCCTTTCTGCCCACTTACGGCTGGCACCCTTCACCACATTCTATCAAACTGTTCAACATTTCTTTATAGATACGAAGATAATATAGATAATATTCTTAGGTATATTTATCGAACTGTGAAAGAGTCTCTCCCTCACGAACAAGTTTATGCCGATATTCAGGGTTTCACCGTTGCGGGCGGAACCATCCCATCCCATATTTATGTAACTTCTCAACGCCCAGATCTCGTCGTTATTTGGGAATCAATGAAAGAAATGCTAATGATCGAACTAACAGTGCCCTTTGAGACAAACACCAATGCTGCTCACACGAGAAAGCTCGACCGGTACAAATAACTTGTGGCCGAAGTAAGAAACAAAGGTTACAGTGTGACATACCATGCTATTGAGATAGGAGCAAGGGGGCAAATAAATAGGGACAACACACATCGGCTAAAGTGGGTACTCAGGAAATGTTCAGAACCTCTTCTTTCAGAACATAAGTAGGTACGCAGTTGTGTCATCTTTTGTCATATTCAATGCAAGAAAAGAATCACAGTGGAAGGATGTGGAATACCTTGACCTCTAATTAACACTCCATTCTCTTCAACGCTTCTTCTCTCTCTTCTTCTTTGCCTTATTTCGTCTTCTTCTTCTTTTTCTTATTCTTCGTCTTCTTCTTCTTCCTCTCTCTCTCTCTCATTCTTCCTAAAGTTTTCTTCCTCGCCTACCTCTCCAACCTCCGCCTCCTTTACTCCATTCGCTTGCCTTTCTCCCCTCTTCTCTCTTTACCCCCTACTTTCTCTAGCTTTTCTTCCACTCCGTCCACTCCAGGTGGAATTACTTGTTTTCACTCGTTTACTCTTTATCTCCAACCTATAATGTACCCTCTACTTTCCCATCTCTTACCCATTTTCTTACATCGTTTCCTATTCCGAGCCTTTACCCACATGCTCAGAAAATCATAATCCCCTTAATTTTTTTAAAATTAAAATTATTTAATTTTTGTTGCCAACCTAAGCATTCTTGATGCAGGCACGATTGTTACCATACATGGTTGATATATGAATGTAATGTATATTGATCAATGATTAATGTATAAAACTGTAACTATACATGATTAATATATAATTTTTATTATTCATGATCGATATAACTGTAATGCATTATTGTTTGTATATGTTTTATATGTAGTGCGACCTGCCATGGTTTCGGAAAGAGAACATGGACCTGGTATTGAATGTAAACATGTATTCCTTTTATATGAAATAAATGCATGATTTAACAACAATGAAATGAAATGAAAAATGAAAACAAAGATGTTTTATTCAATTACGTCTGGGGTCCTATCATTATTTTACTTAAATATATTTCTCACCTACAGCCTTCAGTATGATTAACAAATTTGATTAAGAAACGGGTTTGTTGTTGATGGCTTTATTTCGCACAATAAATGTACATACCTAGATATTGACTGCATTTTACCATGCAAACTGGTAGCCTTCTTCGCATATTGGCGCCTCTTGCCTGAATATATGGTGTCAGAAGTGAAAGTGGCTGTTGATGGAATACCTGTGCTATCAAGTATGATCTATTAGCGAATTTCAGCAAGGGAACAGCTCCACAATTTTGGCGTGACCGGATATAACATCCATGAAATGCTCCATTGACTAATGAACAGGTAGTGACCGGATACTGCAGTGAACTTTGATTCATCAAGAGGTTTGAATAACCAGTGGCATGGAGCATTTGAAGCCTCCATCACCCTTAGATTTGGAAGCTAGGAATCTTCCTCACGTATGGAAGTTATGGAGGGAAGAAT